GGGCCCGGGCGGAGGCCAGTAAAAGGCGCGAGGACCCCGGCGCGGCCGGAAGAAGGTGTCCGCGACACTGCCTGACTCGCAGCGGAAGCGCGGCAAGGGCGCGCGGGTGACAGTCACTGAGTCGCGTTCCCACGCCGGCCATAAACCCCTGTCCCGGACCCCTCTGGCTACCCCCGAGTGACGTGTTTCGGCCTAAACTGCCTCACTCACAGGTGCCCCTGGCTTCCGCCTTGGGCTCCTCCCAAAAGCCCTGGGGCGGGGCCCTCCGCTCTGCCCCGCCCCCACTGGCACCCGGGGAGTCGCGTTCCCACGCCGGCCATAAACCCCTGTCCCGGACCCCTCTGGCTACCCCCGAGTGACGTGTTTCGGCCTAAACTGCCTCACTCACAGGTGCCCCTGGCTTCCGCCTTGGGCTCCTCCCAAAAGCCCTGGGGCGGGGCCCTCCGCTCTGCCCCGCCCCCACTGGCACCCGGGCGGTGTGCTGGTGGCTGCACTGCGCAGGCGCACAGCAGAGCCGGCGAGCGCGCAGCTGCCAGCCCCGTAAGCCCGCCGCCTAGCGGCTCTGCTGGCAGGACAGCGGCCGGGGGCGGGGCCACGGCTTGGTGACAAAAGTGCTGTTGAAATGCAACAGTTAAAACTGGTTTTGCTGCCTCCCGGTGTCCGTGTTTCATGGCCACATTGCTGGCTCCCGTGTGGACAGAGCCAAGCGCCCTGCAGTGTTGTGGGAACACAGAGCTGTGCTGCTTGGGAGTCTCCCTGAAAGCTCCCACAAACTCCTCCTCTGCTGGGAGCAGCATCAGGCATTACTCTGAGTTCTCTGTACTAAGTAATGTCAAAGCAGCACAGCAGTTTCTCCAAGCCCTTTCCCTGCACTAGCAGTCTGCCTGCTGCTGTGTTCCTAGCAGGGCTGAACAGGAGCAGTCCACTGAGTTGCCTTTTGTTTGTTCCCCAGAGGGAGCCTCTCACTCAGCTGTTAGATACTTTCTAGAGCAGTGGTCCCCAGCGTTGAGTGGCTGCCGGGCGTCCATGCAGCGCGCTGGGGGCGGGGCCAGCCCAGATGTTTCAGCGGGCGCCCAGAAATCCCCCGGCGGGGGCCATGGCACCGCGTTGGGGACCACGGTTCTAGAGCAGTGGTCTCCAACCTTTTTACATCCAAGATCACTTTTTAAATCTCAGAACAGGCGAAAACCTACCGCCCCATCCCTGCCTTGAAGCCCCGCCCTCTCTATTCTCCTCCTGTCCATCACTTGCTATCCCCAGCCCTTATTTACACACTCTGATAAACAGTTTATTTTTAAATTATGTGATACATTCAATTAAAATCACGTGTTTATAGTTATGAAATAAATGGTCTGTTTTTTATTCATGCTATTTAAATCTAAAATGAAGCATTTATAATTATACATTTTGTGGGGACAGAGTACTCTATTCTCCTCCTGTCCATCACTTGCTATCCCCAGCCCTTATTTACACACTCTGATAAACAGTTTATTTTTAAATTATGTGATACATTCAATTAAAATCACGTGTTTATAGTTATGAAATAAATGGTCTGTTTTTTATTCATGCTATTTAAATCTAAAATGAAGCATTTATAATTATACATTTTGTGGGGACAGAGTACTGCGGCTGGGGGCAGAGGAGAGGGAACAGGATGCTGGGAGGGCAGAGGACAGGTTTCTGCAGCAGGGGACAGAGTGCCAGTGGGGATAGGTTTCTGCAGCTGGGGACAGGGTGCTAGTGGGGACAGAGTTCTGTGGCTCAGGACAGGGAAGTGGGG